GCATGTGTAGTCACTGGCATAGGAGGCCCAGCCTGTGGCAAATCCGAAGATCGAAGCAGCAAAAGACAAGACGGACCCTGCCTCGCCTTCGCCACTACCCATAGGGATATTAACGAAGTCACCTCGGTGAGCAAACACACCCAACGTGATGAGGAAAATAATGAAGCAGGGGATCCAGGAGACCATCTCATAGAAGTGCACGACCTTATAGCCGAACAGGGTGATCAAGAAGGTTCCTGCCGCAAGGACGATAATAGCAGCCGCTGACGGGAAATTATCGTTGACTGCTCGGAGAAATTGGGCGCCGACGATGACGTTAACGGAAGACCAGCCAAGACACGCCAGGGAGTTGAAGACGGCGATTATCTTCACTCCGTAATACCCAAACCAGAAGCGGCCGAGGATTATTTGGCGCATGCCGAATCGTGGACCAAATGTCGAGAAGAAGCAGACAGGCAAAATCCCCAGAATGTTGATGAAGAGAATAGTGAGCACCGAGTCGACGAAACCCAAAGCAAAAACGGGCACAGCGAGGACGCCAATCGCGAAGGAAGAAACGACCATGTTGGCGGCAAGCCACTGTGTTGGGCGTCAGCAACGAGCTTCCATGGTAAAAGCCGCCTGGTGGGTTACATACCATGGTACCGACTTTGAAAACACTCTTATCCGTCCGTTCATCTTCAGGCACTCGCTCAATACCTCGCTGTTCAATATTGAATCGTCCTGCCAGACGTTGTAACTTTGCATAGGCCGAGTCTCCGATGACAAATGACTCCCCGTGGACGGCGCCTGAGGCGTCCGGAGGGACCACTGAGTGGTGTTTGTCGCCCGATGAGACGGGATACTGGTATTCGACATCGTAGCCGTTCTTCTCGTAGGAAGTCATCTTGCCGGAGTTCAGGCCTTGTATTGCCAGTCGACGAGATACAAGATAGGAGGATTAGAGGGTATGCCGAAGCTCAACGGGCGATGAGATGAAGAGGGAAGATCCAAAGGATCAAAGCACTTGAGAAGACGGTGGGCACATGAAGTAATATAGCATCCCATATCGGCAATTGCCACGACTGATTGAGATGGAGGGCGCCGTCACTCTGGGCGCCCAGACGCCATTTAGGCCGCTGGCATTGCTTCGACCATTGTGTGCCTGGTGTGCCCCACTGTTCGATCTTCAAGATAAGGGTCTTGGTGCTTCGAATACATACCGAGTACTCGAAGTCGCACCGACCTGATTCGGTCGGGGCCGACGCTGGTCTGGACTTGGGTTGCTTCCACCACCAAGATATCCTCGAGCGCTGATCATCTTGGTTTCATTTCTGCTGGTGCGCCTGGTCTTCTCCATGGTTGTCTCGATAGGAGAGTGAACGTTTCGTTCGTTGGGGGCCACTCTCTGACTCGCGTGGATGGCCGGAGATCGCCTTCACCTGAAGCAAACTAGAGCTGTTATATCGGACAGTTGCCGCGTATATTGTCCATATTGAGGACTCGACAAGCGTGGGGAAGCTTGAAGCGATAGAGCTTGGGGGAGATTGAGACCAGAGAGGACGAGCTTCTGGAAGGAGAGCACTAAGCATGCATCTCGGCTCCTGGGCGGAGCTTGAGAAAGATAAGCAGCTGTAGCAGCTGAGTCCGCCGTCCAATGACTTTGCCTTCAGTCACTCCTATTGGTCATGCCTGATTGGCCTTCGCCGCCGGCCGGGGTGTATCTCTTTGAGCCAGAGCTCATCAAGACCACCTCTCGCTTCTCCGATCTTTCTTCTGCGCAGCGGAATCCAGTTTTGGCTGTGGTGGCTGGAGCCGGTTGCTGAAGCTGCCATGCACTTTGACGTAAATACAGCCGAGGCAGCATCTGCGGCATCGAGACTGGTCCACTTGAAGATCAAATTCAATGGGCGAAGAAGGCTGAAACTGCCATGTGGCAGCCCCGGGACGGCCATGAGCCATGAAGCTACCTACCCGGGAGGTATGAGTTCGCACAACCTTTGTACTCAGTCTGCATTGCTTTTGTACTTGTACGTCGTACAAAAGAACGTAGCTCATATCGCATACTAGAATATGGTGCTGACTTAGCATTCAATGTTCTAATCTAAGAAGATGGTGACAATTTTCCGTAAATCATCTGGGATATCTATATGTCCAAAAAAAGAAATAAAAAAGCAAAAGCAAAAAAAAAAGGAGACGCTGATTCAACCATTCGCCGTGACCGTGAAGGCAACCCTGCATCCTGAAGACTTCCAAAATTACTCACATCCCTCCCCCAAGTGACTCCATGCCCGCGAGCTCGTTCCCCTGCACATTGTTGAAGTTGTAAGGAAAATCCACTATCCCATCCAGCATCCAATTCAACGGATCAAAGACGTCATAGCTCGCCTGGCCAAAGTCCATACCCACATCGTCAACCATGCCAGTGGGCATTCCAGCCATGCCCGGCACGATGGTGGAGTTGGGCAGCATGGGATCATTCATTGCAGGCTTCGACTCCATGCTTGATGACGGGATGACAATTTGATTGTCAGGTTGCTCAAGGGTAGGGTTGCGTTGCCTCACTGTTACTTGGTCAGAATCATCCCCGCACGAACTGGGACCATCGTGAATACCATCAGAAGGTTTCCCGCCACGGAAATGGAAGTTCTGCCGCCACTGCCACACGGAGTCAAACACCACAGACATGGACATCCGGCACTTGACCTTGAGCTGCAAACTATCGTCGGGGACACCTTCGCCAATGTTGTTCCGGTTCGGCTCTGCACGCACCCTTCCGCTCTTCCAAACCTGGGCTAGCACTTCTGACAGCCGCTCTGCGAGGTCATTTTCCACCACACTCATGTTTCTCAGTGCCCACACCGTTCTCGAGAGGAGTTCAGATGCTCCTTTGGCATCTAGCTCGTGTTCGCCCAGGAAATTGTGCATCAGTTTGAGGAGCGAGAACCCTGCCCCGAGCATCATGTGGAATATGTAGTTCGTCGCATGCGACAGCGACAGGCCGTGAGAGTAGCTTGAAGGCAGGTTGACGCTGACATTGGACTCCAAGCTTAGACATGTCTCGAGGAAATCAGTCGTGGCATAGTACAACTTTAGCATGTCGGTCCGATATGAAGGCAGCGACGGCGGGGAGAAGAAGGCACTCAATCTCATGTGCAGATCAGCCGCCTTGAGGTATACCTTTGTGATTGGCGACGTGTCCTTGCGTAACTTGTCTTCAAGCTCCTCCAGCTCGTGTGCGAGAAACGAAACGTACGTAGGCCGCTCCGTATCGGCCGCGAGCCCGACGGGATCGTGTGGATTCATGTAGAGCGTCCTTGAGACCTTGTCGACGAACTTTTCTATCAGCAACCGATTAAAGATGGGTGCCGGGAGTTCGTAGTTGGGATTCGTCTCAATCGGTTTTGGTCCGAGGGTCCAATCGTAGATGCTAAGAGGGGGCTGCCCATATGCAGTGCATATTCTCTGGGCGACAATATTGCACACGCTCCAAACCACAACCCGATCCTGCAGTTCCACTTCTCTGAGTTCGACTCGGAATTTCGAAAAGTCTTGAGCGTGGGTGGGGCGGTGCAGACCAATCTGTAGGGCAATCTGCATCATCATCCCACAGAGCATGAAGGTTGGGTCTGTCGAAGTGCTGCTGGTAGGTAGAGGCCAAGCACACAGTAAGATGAGAGCCTTGACAATGTGATAATTTTGAGGGACCTCGGCGACGGTCGACCAAACAAGCCGCATGACAGGCCCCGTGAGAGATCCATATAGATCGGGCTCGGGCGTATAGTGTCGAGCGCCCACTGAAATGATTGTCCAAAACAGCAAGGGGGACCTGGCATAGTATTCATCCGGAGTTCTGTCAGGGTTGAGGAAAGGGAGAAATGGATGATGAAAGGTGAAGAAGCGCTGGAAGAGCTCCTGGGCCCGGTCGACGGTCAAAGTCACCTCTTCCAACCGCTTGAAGATTGGCCTTCCTGAACCGCCCCCTCTTAGGTCGAGTAGTCCCGCAGCGGCGGCATCTGAAGTAAAGGTCCCGTCTCCCGAGGGCGATGGCTGCAGTTTTGCATTGCCATTTGCATGAGACCCATTCGCCACACCCGTGGTCTGTTGTTGTGCCGCCACTTGTTTTCGCAGCTCAATGATCTCGCGCTCCATTTCTGCATTCCGCGATCTCTTGCCAATCCTCTTGAAATTGTCCTCAATTTTGCATTCAAGATTGAGTCGTTTGCAGCGGGTGCATGTCTGAAAGGGCTCCTGGACAACATCGCATCGTAGCTGCAAGAGCACATGGTTAGCAGAGACACCCCAAGGGAGAGGAGAAAGATGGCGCCTGCACAGCGCGACAGCGACAGTGGCTCGACGCACAGTCGAGGAGGGACAGCGGGCGGAATAAATGGCGGTCGCCGTGACGCCTGGGTGAAAAAGAGGATCCTGCGCCAGGAATATCTCGGAATGTGTTTACACTCGGTCCCGTCCAAGCTCACCTTCTGCTGTCGACATTCATTGCAAGCCCTTTTCACGGGCCTCCGCCTGCCATCCCGCGCGTGTTCGTCACCATTGTGGTCGGGTGACTCCAGGCTCGCTGGGGAACTGTCGAAGCCTGCAACGGAGGCATTCCTCTTGTGGCTTTGGGTCGGACTGGTGTACGCGGTACCAGGACCATCGCCTGGGCTCGCGGCAGATGTAGAAGCCAGGGTGAAATCGTCGCCAATCTCAAGGCCGATGAGGGTTTGGATTGGGATTGTCCACGCTGCGGTCGCCATCCGATATCGCAATGAGTTTTGCTAAGAGATAAGATAAGATGGAGGGTGCTCACGACTGCTGGCACACGGGCGCGGCCTGGCTGTCAATAGAGTTGGAGGCGAGGGAATCGGGGAGTGGAATAATCAGAAAATGAGGCGGGTGGACACCTATTATTGGCCACCACCTCAGGCTTTCGTCCCGAGAGCGAGAGCGTCATCAGACACCCTTTTCATGGCACTCTGAGAACCCAGGACCAGGACCAGGACTGCTCAACAAATCCAATGGCAAGTGATGGGAAGAAGAAAGAGCTGTTAAAGGGCCCATTGGAGAAATCACAGCAGCTATGTCCCAAGGCGCCGGCGTCCAGGAACACCCTCTTCTTCGCCCAACCACAGGCTCACGACCAGCGCGGTAAGAACATTATTATGAGTCATTTAATCGGCGAATAATATATGCTCGATGGCTAACCAGCGGCTCACAGTAACCGTTTTCGACTCCAGCATTACACCTGAACCCTTTCTCGACTCGGTTGTCCTCGAGAACCTCAGAAAACGACAGCAGCTAGAAGGCGAGGCAGAGGGGTCAGGCACATCATGACAACAGGAAGCATATATCGAAAATCAATTGCTAAATTGCCATCCACCTGGGGCGGCCGTGCTTTCTAATTGTACAGCTCGTCACTTCATCCAAGTCATTAGTCGTCAAGACATCAAGTCGTGCCATAAGTCTTCGGCATCCCAAGTCGAGCAATGAATCAACACGCTGCAGAAAGATCCTCCCAAGCGCCCGACGAAACAGGAAATCCAAAGCCGCCACGGCCCGGATAGTACAGTTGAGCATGATGATGTCGTTAGAACCCTGAAATGTCGGAGAGATAGCTGCTCATCGGCACCGCCCAGACATCAGACAGACCACTCCGACTCGACGGTGCCGCGTTGATGTGCTACCCAAGTCCCGTGTCAGATGTCCCGTGAAAGGCTAGTGTTGCTGGCCGGAAATCTCGAATCTCCTTGCGAAATGACGTTGGCTCCAATGCTGCGTCGAAGATCGGCCCTTCTTCGTTCTCTTCTCTCATCCTCTTTCCGCTGTTTGGCATGCATGATCTTTTCTTGAATACTCTTGATGCCAATAAGGGGAAGGGGGAACCGCAGCCCACTGCCTGACAACTTGTGTAGTTTGCGACTGGCCCGAAATTTGGCCAGACTCGAATGGCTGGGTCGTTTGACGATACCTCTCTTCTGCCTGCGCCGTTCCGATATCCTTCTGACCAGGGACACTGGGCCCGTTATAATCGTCCTCTCCTGCGGCAAACCCAGGGAATTGTTCACAATTCCTCGATCCAGAGACCGTTCTTGAGGCTGCGATACAGGACGAGGATTATCGATGTCGTCCCAGAATGCACGAGGCCGCCAGAATGGATGCAAACTGCCGTCAAGATCCTGATCAGCCTTACGATTACGGGCGTTCTTGAGGCTCAAGTTTCGAGAAATGGAGCTCATCAACGATTCTGAACGTGGCCGAGACCCGCCCGGTCGCGTAACAGAGTCGGTCCGGTCAATCCCCTGTTGATTCTTTACTTCCTCCTCGCCAGGTGTGGGTGGAGTCAGCTTGAATTGCGGCGGCTCAGGTGGGTGTCGAGGGTTGCGCAAGGGTGAATCGACTTCGATTTCTGGCAGGTGCTGCTTTTGTACCTCCTGGACCGCTTTCGACTCCGCAACAGGAAATGGCTCAATCAGCTGCACGGAATGATTGTTGTGGGGGAAGTAGTTGATCGCCCGTGCTTCGTTGATCTCAGGAGAGCCAGATTGAAAAGAGGGCTGTGAGAAGGGCGTATCAAAAATGGACGGTGGTCGGAGAGCTGCCCATTCCTTTGTTCCAGGCATTACTAGTCCCAGCGGATTTGATACTACTTCACCTTCATTTGCAGGAACGCCGAGACCCCCTGGAAGCATGGAGACTTGAGGGTTAGCAGGGCCCGAAGACCTGCGAAATATTTGATATCCGGCCGCTCGGTCCGAGTATTGTATCCCATCTACAGAACCCCAATCTCTCAGACTGTGGACAAGTCGTTCCGTCTCCATCCTATCCAAGGTCTTGCGCAAGTCTTTCTCGGCTTGTTGTCTGCGTACATGCACATGCTCAGATGTGATGGAATTGGCGCGGGACGTCGTTCTGGATGTAGGCGCCGAGAGTGAGGAGCTCCGAGGAGGTATTAGAGGCGCCTGGTATTGCTCTCTGCCGCGATTCGCAGACTCGGAAAACGCCCTTTTATGTTGCCACGACGAGGGTGGGTTCTCGGAAGCTTTGCGAGAGTGAGAACGTCCAGAACTGTTCGACAGCGACTGCCTCTGGCTAGTGTTCGCCGTGGAGCTCAAGGAGGAGCTCCTCTCTGGAATAACCGCTACCCGAATCACTTCAGTTTTTGGAAGGACAGCGCTTAAGGCCAGGCTGTACGACCTCGAAACCTCCGAGCCGAAACTCCAACGATGTTGATTGCTCAACCTTGCCTTCTTATGAACGAGACGATGGGGGGAGCCTGGAGCGGAATTCGTGGAGTTCCTGTTCGAGGTCGGCAAGGGTGAGCTCACTGAACGCAGAGATTCATGCTTGCTGACATGGCGCAACGTCGTTTTCCGTCGAGGCAAAGAGTTCTGTTCAACGACATATGCTTCAACGGTCGAAGTGGTGGATATGCCAGAGAAACGTCGATTATCTTCCATATCCGCTTGTTGGTCCTCGATTGACTCATCCTCGGTTGGCACAGAATTGTTCCAACCGATGATATTTGCAAATTTCTCTGTTGACGCCGATGGATCTTGGCTCTGCGCTTCCAGAAGCCTTTCTCGCAGGCTCTTGTCCCGCTTCAAGTTATGCTGACCAATACCATGGCGCACAGAATGAGGTGACTCCACACTTTTAGACAAAGAGACTTGAAGAGGGTCGAGATGTATCCCAATCTCCTCTCCGTTTGGCTTTACGTCGCCGCTCGATACCGTGGTCTGATGCTGAGGAACTCCCCCAAATGCCTCGTGGGTCTCGCTCTGAATTACCTGGAATTGATCGAAAGGCTCCGGGGATTGATTAACGACAGGACCTTCTCCGTAGAGCTCTATCAATGGTGATCTAGGCAGAGCGCTCTGTCGCAGGCGATGGGCAGCAACCCCAAACTTATCAACGGAACTCAACGGCCATTTGAACCCATTGTCCTGGCGCGGGGTATAGCGCTCAGATTCACCCTCTGACGTGAAGTCCTCATGGGCGGTCTTGAAGGATTCTGTATGTGTGGAAGCGATTGAGGGCTGGGGACCCAAAAACGGGCGCCGGAGTGTCCCATATCGCTCACGGGGAGGAGTGTTATCAGGGGTCGGCGGACTGTTCTGGTTTATCGGCGTCACCAAGCTCGATCTAAACACTGCGGTGTCCGAAGACTGGGTGACTTCCTCCGGAGCAGGCGGCCTGGTCTCACTGTTCGCCCTGGGTGGTGTAGGAGGGAGATTTGGCGAAGTAGGTAAGACCGTAGACACGGAGTGATAAGAGTGTTCTTCCGGTCGATGGTCACCAACTTCTTGGGCCGAGATGCGATAAAGAGTTCGAAGGTTAGTCGACCCGGCTTTGGAACCGTTCCGAAAGGGCAGAGATCTTGAGGCCGATGGAGCAGATTGACCCAGGGGATCCTTAGCTGGGCCCATTATGGTGTATTCGGTGGTCCTCCCCATCGGAGCTCCGAATTATGGCATTGAAAGAGTTTCAATAGGTCCTCCTCTTCATTGCGACAGATGGCCACAGTAGCAGCGAAGAATGAGGTTGTACTCAAGACATAGGGAGATGTCTTGTTTGATCGCCGGGGTAATTTGAGAGCGAAAACAGACGGCGGCGAGGTTGGCGGAGTGCGTGAGGCGTGGCGAATCGTTGAATGCGTGACGCGAAGTGTGACAGATCCAAAGACAGTCCGCCGCTGGCGGTGCGCAGGTGTCGAAACAGTCTGTCGTCGGGGTTCGCAGGGTCTCAAAGATACTTCTGGCGCCCGTTAAGTGACTCTAGTGTCGATAATTATCCTCTACAGCTCCAAATTAGACAGTGTATCAGGCTATTAATATTCTGTGGTTCGAAGAGCGGAGTCGTAGATACGCAGTTAGGGAGCAATCGAGGTCAGGGACAGGAGCATTGACAAAGCGCCTGACGGCGATTGATTCCGAGCCCAGGGACGAGCGACCTCGAGCACGAAGGGACAAGGGGATACGCAACGATCTCTTCGGACACACAAAGGGTAAGTATGCAATATATATTCGGATATCGAGGCTTGAGAACCTGAGGACGGATGTTGGACTTGAGAACAGCAATGCGAAACTTTAAGTGAGAGGACGGAATTACGATGACAAGGATCTGGCACGCTGGGCTCTAGGCTCTGGGTTCTGGGCAGCTCAGCCGAAGCCACGCGGGAACTCATGTAACTCACATAACTCACATAACTCACATAACCTCCTTGAGCTTCCTCTGATGCTCTTGATCCCTTGACCCCAACCTCCTGGCAGCACCAGATAATCTATGAGGTATCAGGGGGTGAAATACGAATGCCCTTCACACTTCCCTCGGTGAGCAAAGCGTTCTCTCCCTCGCATTCCTGTCTGTCACTCGTCACATTCCCAAGGCCCTACTCAACTCTCGACTTCTCCTTCAGCCCCAATGGGGTCAAAACCCCAACAAACACCACGCTGCAAACCTCCATGGTATGCTGAGCACACGACTCTGCTGTCAGATTGATCGCCGCAATCCCCTTCGTCTGCCAGCCAAGTATGTAAGTCAATTTCTTCCCCTACATATCTTGACCTCTCAAAATCATCCTGCTCCCAATTCATAATATCCATGGTTATACATGCTCAATCACAATCATGGTATTCATAAGAGATATCGCGTCTCTCCGCCTTACGTTCGTATTCACTCTTTTCCCATGTCAACAAGTCCTCGCATCCCCTGCCTCTCAAGTAATCCAGCCCGATACTGGCCCTCTCTCCCTTTTCGAACTTGTCCAGAAAACCTTCCACCGCATAGTCGAAGTTGGATTTCTCCGTGGCATTCTAACCTGGCTGTTGATCTTGGGATGTCTGGTCTGCCTTCTCATCGGTGTTCTCAACGGGTTGGCCGCCTATCTTCGGCGTCATGACCCGAAGTTGTGGGAACAACATGACGAGATCAATACCTTCGAAGGCGAAAAGGATGAAGAAGAGGAGCCGGCCTCGTCTTCAGTCGGAAAGCGTCTGAACAGACCTGACACCGAACACACCGACAAGTTGCAGTCCCAATGCCAAAGCCGAATCTCCCGGTATCTTGCCAGCAACCCTTCAATACCTATCACAAAGATCAGTATCCGTGCCTCACCGCGTCGACCACCAACTACAACTTGTGCTTTATCTGCACCGTCTTGGTCCTCTCCGCGGACCCCAACACGAACTCCTGTAACGCCACTCCGCTCTGCCCTCTCCAAATCACCAGCCTCGTCGAGACAGTCTTCACGCGTCCGGACTCTTGTACTTGAATCAACAAGTGTAAGCACGGGCCGGACTGGTTACCCATCTCCTAAATCCGTGCACTGGGCGGATGAGATTCAGGTGACGGCGGTGGAGATGAGCCTTCCGAGAGACAGACTGTTCTGAACCTAGGGCCATACTGGTCCACAAATCGAAATAGACATTGGATCACGCAGGGTCGATGGACACAGTTTCAACACGGTTGATGCATTAGATGCCTTCTCCTTGCCAACGTACTACTCAAACCCCACTTCTCAGACGCATGACCGTACAAGTTCTTTCACCAAAACTTTAATCACAGTGCAGGATGTAGAACACCCATCCGACAGAGTGACATTGATGAAATTGGACGGCGATACGAGTTAAATAGTATTGGGCGCCTAGGCGGCCAAAAACCGCGGGCTTTTCCACGTTGAGGAATCCATCCACCACCATCCGCTTTGGATCCGGGTCAGGACTGTTTCACATGTGTTGGGAATATTTATTGAGAAGGAATTTAGGGTTATTGGCATCAGCATCTGTTCCTATTCATGAGCAGATGTGTACCGGGTATGACTAGTTCTCTTGTCCTTGGCTACCAGACTTCTCGAACCAGCGCGGCGAGCGGGCCACTGAAAGTCTACTAGTGTACGAGGTAATTAACGCTGGAAGGCATTGTGCTTCTAGGAAGAAATGCAGATGAGATTACGTCCTCTTTGATTCTCACACAATGTCAATCCCAAGTCCACATTCACTCAAAGGCAGATCTGGGTGATCTACTCAGACACTAGCTAGTGCTAGTATGAATACTATATCATTTTGACCCTCGATAGTAACAAACGCCACAGCCTCGTCAGGCCAGCCCCTTGTCAATGTGCATTCTTTGTTCTAACAGAACCTTTTGGGGAAACTGATAATGAAGACCATCAAGCTCTGGTGAAGTTTGCTTGCCTATTGTCCGATTCGTCTTAGCTCTCTTTATCTATCTATACACGGCTAGCTTGAATAATCGGGCAAAACTCTGCCATTGCATGACGTCGCAAGACTGTCTCAGTCGTGCTAGAGCAATCTGCCATGAATGATCTCCAATGAGAGTTCGCAGGGGCTTCAACGCGAGGGAACTTCTCTCTTCTCTAGCATCAGATGCGCGAGCATACCAATACCGACCATTGCCTTCACCCACATCTATCCGCTTACTTGAAGTCCATCCAGCTTCCCCTTTCCCTGAAAGCAGCGGGAACATAGCAGTCTCACTACGCACGTTCCCCGTCGATGACGCGCCTCCCTTCCACGCTCTGTCTTACACATGGGGCTACCCGCTGATACCAGAGTCACGGCCCTCACGCAGCAGCAACTGGCGTCGCCTGGCATTCTTGCAGCGCGTACAGGCAAGAGCCCCCCGTCTGCTGGATCCGGAGAGCCACAGTCGTCTCGATACTGGGACGCCGTCTCCTTCAGCTTCACCATCCCTGCATTTGCCAGTGCTGCGCACAAGAATCACGGAAAACACTCCGTGCTTCCCTGTGAAATGTGAAGGTCGCAATATCCGCGTCACGGCGAATTTGTACGATGCTCTGGCCGTATTGGGTCGCCGTAATCCCAATGAAAGGGACAAATCTCCATCAGGGAGGAAATTTATCTGGGTGGACGCCCTGTGCATCGACCAATCTTCTCTCATAGAGCGAAATCAGCAAGTCAATTTAATGGCGGACATCTTCAAGGCGGCGCAAGGCGTGGTTGTGTGGCTCGGAGAAGAGGACGAGTTTACCCAGGACGCATGTACGGTCATGGAAAGAATTGCAACTGTTCCAAGAGAGAAGTGGTCCAATGTGCCCTACACGGGCTTCTACGACGGGGACGGCGCCTGCTACCAAGAACTCGGGATTGAGCCGCTGAGCTATCAGAACTGGCTGGGTCTAATTGCATTCATGAACCGGCCCTGGTTTTCGAGATGCTGGGTGGTCCAGGAACTAGCACTCGCGAGGAAGGCCACTGTCATCTGTGGGAATCGGTTGCTACAATGGGAGCAATTGGCCACAACGATTGAATTCGTCCGCGCAACGAAATGGTATCACCACTTGTCCACGGAGAAGATGCGGCATATCCGTGAACTAAGCCGAAGTCCAGGGGCGTACAAGAAACTTCTGGCAAGTAACACCAGATTTGGGCTTGAGCCTGTGTATCTCAATAACACACGGAATGCGCTGCGGTCATATTCCCAGAGAGACAACGCTGGGGGCCCGTCGCTGAGGATGCTTGTGGATACGCATAGGTATACCAGCGCGACTGATCCTAGAGACAAGGTCTATGCTTTCCTCAGTCTGTCGCATAGATCTCGGCCACCCTCGTCGAAGCCCGATGAGATCAAGCCAGACTATCAGACCTCAGTCCGCCAGGTGTACACAGAAGCTGCATGCACTCTGATTGGGGGCTCCCAGAACCTGTACCTGTTGTCACATGTGCAAGATCGATCATTGACCAAGGTCAAAGGACTTCCCTCTTGGGTCCCTGACTACTCTGTCCCACTGTCGCCGTATCCACTTGAGTTTCGAGGAAAATGCAACTGGTCGGCCTGCGGCCACCTGAAATGGACGCCGCCAGATGACGAAACAACGCTTCGCAGAGGCCTCTTGCCCGTACAAGGCTTCCACATCGATACCATTGCAGAAAGGGCCACCATGCCGCACGAAGCCACGGATGCTGGAGAGCCATGGGCCACTATCGTGGATCTTGTTTTCCAACTCCCAAATCCTTACCGCACGCCCTCACTCGGGGGCGCTCCGATCTCACGCCTCGACGTCCTCTGGCGCACGCTAACCACAAACACATACTCTCGGCAACATCCAGCCCCTTCTGAGTGTGGAGCCTTGTTCATCGACTACATTCTCAACCTGCAGATACGACACCGTTTGACCCCTTGGTCATCGCATGACACAGATTTTCAACCACATCAAACACCCGTCTCGACTCTTACCAACCCTAATTGGCATGGTCTGTTGGCGTCCGAGCCCGAAACTTCTCCATACAATCTCTCTTTCTACCGGGATCGACTGACCGCATTGGTAGAGAATATGTTGTCCAGCGACTCATACTCGCCACTTGACCTTGCTCAATTGCATCATGACATTGAGCACGGATCCGGAAGATCGCGACGGCTGTTCCGGACGAAGAATATGATGCTTCTAGGAACTGGTTCCCGGTCTCTTCAGGCTGGTGATGAGGTTTGGATTCTGGCAGGTGGTAGAGTGCCATACATTCTTCGACCTGTCCAGAATAGGATGGATGGCGAACGTCCGGCTGACAGGACGCATCGTCTGGTGGGCGAGGCATATGTTCATGGTCTGATGCACGGCGATCCACACCGTTTCGGTCAAGACTTGGTGTCGACGGTCTTGGTTTGAAGTCCTTCGTTTTATGATCGTTCGTCTTTGCCAATGGAACCAAGAGAAGGGAAGATTCTATAAATATGGAAGTCACATATCACATCAGGATACCCTACGGAAGAGGGCTGTTTGGGTTTGTACAATTAGCCCTGATTGAGGAAGTTAGCATGAACCCGTTTTATGACGAACCAGACACTAAAATCTGCAACATTATACATCAGACAAATTCGAGAAGATATATGGCTGGTTGTTCTAGGCATTGCGTTCGAACACCTCGGGTTGAAGATTAACCTTCGACCACTAGAGCAGAACGCTTCTCTGGCCCCAGCGGCCTCGTCATTGAGCAAAATCAGGTCAGGCGTCCATGCTTGAAGTACCTACCAAATTCAGAGCCAAGGTTTCGCGAAGTCCTCAGCCGGGTTGGCGTTGTATAACCAGCTGCAAGGACCGTCCCTAAATAGAGATCAGTCCACATTGATCTCTAATTTCCCTCTCCTCGCTCTCATCTCCTCAACCTTCCTCTTATCCTCCTCAAACCGTTTCACAATCTGATCTTGCTCCTGCTTCCTTCTCTCTCGCGTCTGGAACCTGTAAAAGTCCTCCAACGTCTTCGCTTTCTCTTTCTGCTTCTCAGCAGATTCTTTCGCTTCTTCAATCCGTGCGCTACCTCTTGATCCTCGTGTAAGGGTGATGAAACCATCCTCGTCCGGTATTGCGCGTTTGCGTGCATTATCTCGAGAGCGGGATTCTTCGAGTTTAGAGTAGGCGGTCATGTATGCGTTGACTGATCGTAAGAGCTCCTTGCGCGAGGGGTATTGGAGTGATTTGTGGTGTTCGTATCTGGTGAGCCCCAGGTGTAGCATTTCATTCGACCCTAAGCCTGCAACGTCTTCCCATGGGATCGATGCGCCCGACTTTGCGGCACGCCGAGAAGCTTTGAGAGTGAGTTCCATGCTAACTTTGTCCACAAAGACGACTATTGCTGTCGCGCCACTATCTTGAATTTCGCAGCCGAAGATATTTGGGAGGGAGTACATGTCCAGCCCGGCCTCAATTTCTTCTGTGGTCATTCTTTTGCGCTTCCGACTTGATTTCTCTGTGGGAACGGGTTGTTTTCCTGGTGCATTTTCTGAGAAATATATTTCCTGAATGCGTCCGCCTTCAAGTTGTGTCGTGAACAAGTGTTTTAGAGACTGCTCGGTGGCGCACACAGGGATATTCACTAGGAATAAAGATCGAGGTGTATCCTCGTCGGGGATTTTAGGTTCGTGCGGTTTGAGGTAAAGGTAGTGAGTGGCTTCTCGGGGGAAAGATCCTGTCGCCTGTAATTGCAGAGGTAATGCAATATAGCCGCCTACTTCACGAGGGGCATTAACCATGGCGAAGGGGTGGTTTTCTGGGGGATAGGACGATAAATGCGGACCGACTTTTTCGTCGCGGTTGGAGAAAAAGTACAAGGTATCTAAGCGTCCAATGCGGGGAGAGGGTGGATAGAGCCTTAAATGACAAAGAATGACGGTTCCGAAGCACGACTGCCTCGTCACAGTAAGGCTGCATTCCATGCCACTAGCCCGGGATCGAAAAGGGCAGGTTCTACCTCGCTCACAGATTCTTTCAACCGCCCTGCTTTCGCAGATTTCACCTGCCCATACCACCATTCATCTAAACTGCTTGACTGGGAAATCAATGCCAGATACAGCTCTTGCAAAGTTATTCTCTCAACAGCATGATGCAGGATTTAACAAGCAACTTTCGAACTGGTTGAGATGACGATGTTCAGCCATTTCGAGCCATCGTCGAAAGCAGTGTTAGTGTTGGACAGGGTATCACCTTGGACATTTCTTTAGGCATTCCGGTCATGTACTGTCATAAATCTGCTGCATGGGCTGAGCGGATTGATCTTCGTGAAGGCTATCAGTGGGGATCGAACGCGTCTCGGTTTTCTCGGGTTCCTGTCCCCGGACATCATCAAGGGCTTCATCGCTTGCTTGACCGAGAGCGAGAACATTGTGGAACTGCCAATCCTTCACCTTACTGGCCAGTTTACATCTCACCAACCAATGCTTCGGTCGTCTAGGATACTCTTTCCGCGGCTATATTCCGTGCTATTTTCGCGGGGATATTGCTAGGCAGAGGGCGAGGAACATCAGTACAGAAGGCTCTAGACTTGAGACGGAGCGGCATCTGCGATAGAAATCAACATTTCGGGTAGCTCCTGCTGCACAACCCCTCTTGTCTTCGAAGAAGGTCAATGAGACCATTCACCGATCGCATCAGCAGGAAGATCACTGAAGGATCGAGATTGGCTTGATAACATACCAGGTCCAGATGCGAATCGGCAAAACGGATGCTCTGATTTCCCTTTGGCTATTAGCATCCCTCCCATCCTCATTTAGAGCGAGCTTGACGGTGCTTGTAGATTCCGTGTTGAGACTCGACTTGATGGCTTCTGCCGTGCCAATTTTCAACTTATGAGCTCCTTTGAAAGTCTCCCTACGTCTCTGGTTTGTTTCTTTTCCTACCTAGATTTTCTCACAGTTGCTCGAATACAGCGCCCGAGCTGATACTGCAATGCAGGTCAAGCAAACATCGCAATTACCGGGCTGGTTCAATTCGCGGATGCTGACGCCATGCAGAGTTCAACAACCCCGGTTCGGGGACTGGGAACATTATGCGAGGTCAGAGAAATCAAGAGGGTGGTTGTGCGAAATAGATATGTCAGAAAGAAGACGCTCAGTCTCCGGCATGCCATGATGTTGACCTAGCCCCTAAAAATAACAACGCTAGACCGCATTCGGTATCAGCTGAGAATGATGTCAATAGCCCTTTGTTTATACCCCGCGAGCCCGATCTTGCCCGATGAAGTGAAGATGGTGTGCTGAGACTGGCGTAAACCTACCCTGACAAGTTGCTGCTTTACAAGTACGGAGCGTTTTGTACCAACCCCCAACTCTCAGTACTCCTTACCTACCTAGCTCGCTGGGTCCCGAGCACACAACACCTCAGACACCGTAGTATGTTTCATAGCTTTCTAGCGTCGACCCGAGCACCAACCTCTACTCTCCCGAACGGACAGTCCAACAAGATGTAAAATCCAGTAATTCTACTATAGCGGTCTACATAAATCGACGTGTCGAGATTCCTCAAAGCGGATCCCCAGAAACAACGACCAATTTCGGGGCAGATACATGATGCAAGGTCAAGAATCTGAATCAGCATGTCGACGAGGCTGGGATGTTGAAGCTTGTGGCAACGGAGACGGTTGTTGCATGGCAACCACACCATTTTATCGCACAGATCGCGGTCATTCTTTCTCCATCTCGTCTCTCGCTGCTCTCCTACGCCTTGCGCTCTGTCTGACTACTGCAGCTCGTCTCCCGAATACCCAAACCGATTCTTTCTTTAGACGGGTGTCCTCTACCACACTCCAACCTCTCCGCGATGTTGCCATTGAGTGGTCAGCAATGTCTCACATCCTTCACAAAAAGACTGCGCCGCCAGTATAAGTCACTTCCGTTCTTTTCACCATGGATACCTTCCTCTTTCCCTGCATCGCCTCACACTATAAGAATCAACAAGCATCCTTTCGGGGCGTGATACTCGAGAGCTTCGCCATTGCACTTGATACACTCACTCACGTCTCAGCCGGCATTTCCAACTTCTGCCCTCCATTGAACTTTTAACAAGATCCTCACAGTCAATCTCCAAGATGCTGGCTTCGTTCCCTTTGTTACTGGCGGTCCTAGCTGGTTCTGCTCTGGGGCTGCCATACCCAGATGACCAAAAGCGTGACAATATTTATCCTGTCTACAGCAGTCCATCTTACACCACGACCTACCCCGTATACACGACACCCTCCACTTATTACCCAGTGTACACGACCACTTCCACCTATTCACCGGTGTATACGACAACCTCAACCTATTCGTCAGTGTACGCATCCAGCTCGACATACTTCTCCGTGTACAGCAGCTCTTCCACTTATTCTCCATACAGCATACATCAAACTACATACACCACTCCGACCATCTACTCTACGACCACCTACACAACTCCAGTTATCTATACCACGACTACATACACTACTCCCGTCTATCCCCCGTACACTAGTCCATCTATCTACTCGACCACGTACTCAACCTGCCCTACCCCTACCACCGTAACCAGCACAGAGACAATCTACTCAACAGTCTACTCAACAGTGAGTGCGACAAGCACATCAACGTATACCGCAACTTCCACTGCAACTTACACAGCCACAGCTACTGTGACATATACCACTACATCCACTGCGACATATACCGCGACAGTCACCTCAACAGCTTATGTGACGTATACCACCAGCAGCGTGGTTTACTCTTGCTCCCCCACTTACAGCATCAACACATATAGCAGCTCCGTCTATTCAACTCCGATCTATACATCCACTTACACTACCTATACGACGCCGGTGTACACTTCTACCTATAGCACCTCTATTTACCCAGTTTATACTACTTACACTATCACAACTTACGGTTCTGGGTGGTAAACCACAACCTATACTTCTTCAGACTGCAAGCTCCGACTCGAGAAATGTAACTTGTGGGGCCTATGTGCAAGAAATTTTCCCGTGTTGTCTAGGTCTTTTTGAAGACAAGATGCTTCCATGAAGGTCCGGGCCGGGGAGTCGGGCATATTGCGGAAAGAAGGGTCAGTCGCATGGTACGAAACCAGATGGGGTGTAATACATCGTTGATTATTGGGATCTGATGAGCAGATCGGAAACTTAGTATAGCACACCTCGACATTCCCTTTGTCTATATAGCCAGCCACGCTCCTTATCCCGCGAAGGAGAAAATCCTTCATAGTTAACACCGCTAATATAGTCGTCTCTAACAATGAAGGTGCTCACAATAGTGTCATTGGCTCTTATTCCGTTCCCTTCCGCCAGTAAGACAGCAGAATCGCGACACAAATTATAGTGGACTATTTTGCTGGTCTCTATAGATCAATAAGAGCTCTTCGTCGAGAGTAGGAGACACCAAATAGTTGGGTAATGCGGCACTAGTCCTAATGTCAAACAGAAAAGTTGACACGTCTTTAGGCCATTTCGACAATAACATCGCATAGTAAGCATTTGAATCCGCCCATATATTAGGGAAATTCAACTTCACATAAGTTCATAATATCACAGTGACTGTATCCCGGCATCTATCGGTCGCTCGTGGAAAGGGAGGAACCCAATCTCGCGTTCGGATGTGGATATTCAACATCATTTTCGGGCCGAAGAGTTCCGGTGATGAAAAGTTTACTATGGACCTAAAGGGGGCATATATGGCAGGAGCTAAGAGAATGGTAGATAATGCTAGATGACGGACTCTGGATTAAGATCCTAAAGCTCGACTTCATGTTAGTCCAACATATCGGGAAGTTTAGAAGCGAATATGTGGGTGTTCGCAGTAAGTGATTTTGCCTACATTGAACAATATACGTCTTCATCTATGAAGCTCAAGGCCTATGGGCCATCACTTAACTCATAAATTACAGATCTATAGCGATTAGATTTTCGGAGCCGCATTCGCCGTTTTTGCTCCGATACTAGGCCATCACTTAGAGGTGAGACGGAGAGAATGATTCTTATATTCGAAACCTTTACATTAGTTAAACATAATACGTACAACTAGGGGTAAACTAGCTATACGAATTATAGATTCGAAGTCCGTCGCGTATATTAAGGGGCCACCGTATATAGTGATCTTCCTTTCCGGAACTAGTATATCTAATATTCACTATAGAATTTATCTTAACCGCGCCGCTTTTAAATTAACTATTAACCTCGAGTAGAATTTATTAACTTAATTATTAATAAATTCTCTCGAACTATATATTATTTTTTTATACTATCTTTAATTAGACTCTAATATAAGCCGGGTTAGCCTAGTGTTACGAATTCGGCTAAACATCGAAATAACGAACGCTTAATATCTTAGATAACGATTAGATCATCGACTAAGCGTTAATACGACTTAGAAAGTATATCTTTATTACTAGTATACTCCCCGTATAAGAGGCGTATTTCTATTAAGAATTCTTACTAATTCTAACTAGATTAGAGTTCTTAGTAATAATTCTAAAATAGTATAAGCTAATTAAAGAAAATATAAAATATATATAGATTCTCTATTACTAAGAACTATATAATTTAGTAAATAATATAAGTTAACTACTGAACTAGGGCGAGGCTACTAGCCATGGGCATCAACTCGTACGGCGGTGGGTATAGTCTTTTCTCAACGCGCACACTTAACTAGGGGAAGTCCTCTCTGTTGGTAACTTAGTTGCTTATGTATTATATGAAAGATCGTCCCCCAGACTATGTAAGAAGAACCATTCTATAATGAGCCTTCGGGTCAGGCCTCAGTTACGGTTAAGAATTACTCCACCACCACAATAGATTATTAGATAAAACTTAGAAGATAGACGATTTAAAGTTCTATAATCAGCTTCCAACAGTTAGATATTAATATTCTTATGATGCGGCATCACTAGCGAGTGGTAAAGTAGGCCGCATTTCGTAGTTAGTTAATGTCCCTACTAAGCATCGTAACTAAAACCCTAATTAGGAAAAGTACCATTACGATTGGAACTAGACCTCTTCGAGGTTTTAGTCACCGCCTTTATTCTGTCCTCGCAATATATTTAGTCTTATATTTCCTAAAGTATAGCGAGCAGTATAGCGAAGAATAAAGGTGGCCGGCCTCGTAAATACCAGGATAACGAGGCCCTTCGAGCTAGCCGTGCGGCCAAAACTCGGCGTTGGCGCGAGAAAAAACGCATAGAACAAGACGACCCTTCGCTCCCGAGGGAAACCGGACTTTAGATTATCTACGACTCTTATAATATTCTAATATAAGCTAAAGTCGAAGAACTATCGCGATTAACCGACCCTCGATAGGGCATCTAAGTAGAAGGTCTATCTATATCGACCGACGCTAACTAAGAGATAATGAGCTATTTTTATATTTCCTTAAATTACTCTTCATCTTAGAGGACGACTAATATATCTTCTTTCTCTCTAAATTATTCTCTTAGTATATTAGCTTCGTTAATAGTCTTAACTTATTAACTAATTAACTTAGAATTCTCTCTTCGAATCGAACGATACTCTCGATTATTACGATGACGCCCTACTCCCACCCCTCGAAAACCTTTATATCTCTCGCTCGTTTAATAATAAATCTCCGTTATTCTCTCGATCTTCGTTACCTTATATCGACTCTCTCTCTCCGTTCTATCTATTATCTCGAGTTCCTTAGTCTCTTAGATCTTCGAAAATTTCTTTACGTTAACTCTTCTAATCGTCTTTCTTAAGAGCGTCGTCACTCTTAAATTAATTTATATAAACTAAATTAAATAAATCTAACGAGAGTTATTCTCGGGACGAGCCACCGAATCTACGTAAAGATAGTATAATACTAGAAGTAAAGATACGAGATTTAGTAATCTTTAAATATATCGATATCTAAGATATTAACTAGGCCGCGGGCGAGAATAACTAGAACGAAGATAACTAAGATAGAGACGATTAAGAAATAAATAGTGAAGATAGAAATGATTAAAATACGAACGAGGATAACGAGGAAGAGATCGATATTACGTTGTTAAGGATCCCTACTGATCCTAACTGGGTTAGGGTTCTCAGCAACAATCCTGGTATAGCATGAGCTGGTTGTGGATCACACGCGATATGAGCAAGGTTTCTCTGTTACTAAGAACTGTATAGTCCAGTAGATAACATGAGTTGGCTACGGAGAGAGTGTAACTATGTAGGGGTAACGAGGGTGTATATATAATGCCTGTGCTCTGTGCGCTCTGTGCGCTCTGTGCGCTCTGTCAACAGGGCCAACAGGGCCAACAGAGCCAACAGGGCATATCACGTGACTCAGCCTTGTTCTCCTGTGGATCCTTCCATCTGTCCAATGAGTGTGGTGAGTCGCGCCAATGCAACTCGTAACCGGGTTTCCTCAAGGCTGTGTCTAACATACGTAACGAATTACCGAGGAGCTCCTATATTTCTATAAATATAGTGATAATAAGCACCTCGAAACGGCTTAGTAATATCTCTATAAGTCTACTCATTATATATCTCTAAACGCGGTTAATGAATTTCTCGCCACTATACTTAATACATTTAGTTATATAATATTTTCTTCGTCTAATATAACATTCGATTATTAAGAAGCCTAAGGTTAGAAGGCGTAATTTCTAGGAACTCGTTCGGAGACGTTAGATAAAAAAATTCATATTTATCTCTCTACGTCTAAGTCTCTAGAACCTTATCTTAATTTAGTAATAATCTTTAATTTTAATAATATTATAAGATTTCTCACTAGCCTAGTCTTTACGAAATATAGTATTAAGTTTACTCTTAGTCTCTATATCATTACTAATCTATAAGCCGACCTCTATCTTTCTCTTCTAGTTCTAACTTAGTATAGTGTACGTAAAGTACGGCTACACGAAGTAATTCATTATAAATTTAGTTACGTCGGTCATTTTAAAGATGCTTAGCTTCTAGTCTTCTTCCCTTTCCATTTACGTACGCTATCTAGATTTAATAACTATTGAACTAGGGCGAGGCTACTAGCCATGGGCATTAACTCGTACGGCGGTGGGTATGGTCTCTTCTCAACGCGCACACTTAACTAGGGGAAGTCCTCTCTATTGGTAACTTGGTTGCTTATGTATTGTATATAAAAGATAGTCCCCCAGAACTATATAAGAAGAACCATAGTCTAGGGTCGGCGCCCTAGTTAATCATAACTCTATTCACCACTTCTAACTTCTCCCATTACACTATCTCAGCTAGAATAATATAATTCGCTAAATCGATTAGGTGATCTTACCCGCGATTTATAAATGGATCTTTTCTACTCTCATCTAGGGTTATCCCGCCATCTCTCGCCTTACTAAACTTAATAGTCTCGCCCTATACGCGGAGACTCGCGCTCGACTTAATAGTAGAGAACGTTAATAGCTTCTTTAGTACTTTCTATAAGCCGACCACCTCGAAGCTATCTAGAACGGAATCGTTTAACGTAGTATAGCTCCGGGACTCGAAGATTTCCGTAGTTCATAACTCTTCTTTAACGCTAAAAACTTAAAAGGATAAACGTTTAAATCGATACTTACTATCGTCTAGAATGTCTTCTTTACTCCTTAGAAATTAGTCTTCGATCGACGATTCTTAGTCGATGAGCGAGTTTAGATTAACTAGAGTAAGGAATTCTACCCACTATCTAGCTTCTTACCTAACTAAGAGATGGGGGAGGTCGTGCTAAAGGTCTATCTTTAGCGTCCCTATTATCACGACTCGTAATATTAGTGGGCACTATACGGCTCTTCTACTCGCCCTTTCTTACGGAATCGATACTATATCGCCCTTCTCCGTAATACGGTGAGTATAACTGTGGTGACGGCGACCGATGCCCTAAGTCGATAGTAAGATCTTATTTATAGTTAATACTATAATAAGTAGAAAGAACTCTA